TGGTGCGTGGATAAAAATACGGGGGGGGGGGGGGGGGGGGGGAGGGGGGGACTTAAACCCTGGAGCACCAGGCTATGCTAGCTCTCCAGAACATGCTCCCCAGGGAGGAGAAAGATGGTTATGATGCTTGGAAGAAGAAATGGTGTTGTGGGAGTCAGCTGTATTATTTGATGCCAAGACACACACTGCAAGTATGTATCCTTAGGCTTGTTTTCATGCTATTGTATCAGACTGTTATTTTTCAGGGGAGGATGAGACTGAGGGTGGGACAAAAGAAAATACGGACTTTTCTTTTTCTTCTTCCTAATCTTCATTCCAAAGCCTTTCGCCCTTTAATGTCTTTGCTCAGTTTTAGAGTCAAACTCAAAATAAAAGCACAAGGATATGAAATATTTTCTTCTTCCCCATACTCCAAGTTTGTGCTGCTTTTGACCTGTGAGATTTTTACCTGGTATAAACCACTGCCGTTTCATCACAACACACATCTAAGGATCAGTCCTAAAGCACTAAAATTCCTATTTTAGCTAGAAAAAGAAGAAAGATCAAAACTCCTGCCCGCCCCCCCCACCACCACTCCCAACAGTATATACAAGAAATGTGATGCCATTACAAGTGATAAACATCTTCCTCCCCTTTATATATCACCGAATGACTCCATCAGTGATCTTCTTGGACCACAGATTTATAACCTAAGACTTTAAAACTGAATCATCTCTTTTGATCCCTTTTGTGGCTACTTTTCCACTTGCATCTTATTGGGCTGCATGTTCTTCACCAACATCAAATCAATATGCATAATAGAGGATTTACTGGGTTCCATGAAGAACACCGAAGGGACCATCATCTAGTTTACCAAAAAACTAGTGGCTTTTTTTTAGTGGGGATTTTTTTGGCGGTTAGGGAGCCAGACACTTGAAGCAAAGTACTTTCTGAAAAAGCCATAAGGAAATGCCCTTAACAGCAGTAAGCAAAAAGCAAGACCAGTAGTTCCCAGTAACTGTAGTGTGCATTCACAGTACTGCTACACAACACCTGCGCCCTCCTAGTCTTTGGGTAAAAAGATTTCCTGGACTTTTTGTAAAGATCTTGTGTATTTTTTATTCATCTTCTCCTTGTCATCCATCTTTTTTTCCAAGTAAAGACCACACTCGTGTGCAATAACAAGCAATTACAAGCTATTACCTCTTCTGTCCCAGCTGGTAGCTGGCGAACTGCTAGACTGAGGAGGGCTGTAAGCATTCACAGTCTGGCAGGCAGCTTTAGCTAAAAGCTGTTTTTAAAGAAGGATGAAAGGGAAGGGAAAATTCTCTCTTTTTTCCCTTCCATGTTCAAAACTTTCAAAATGTTATCTTACAGTTGGTTAAGATAAGAGGAAAGCATTCACTATTTTCCCACCCATTTTCAGCTGTGAAATACTGCTGAAATTTTCAAAATGTAACATATTTGCAGCAGCTCTTCTTGCTTGTCTTCTGAGTTGGTACTAAATAACCCCTTGGTGCTACATCACTAGCAGTGTGGTTTGCAGAGAACATACTGTTCGGGCAAAGTCCCTATCCCAATTCAAACCCACTTTGCTACCTTAGCCTCCTCTGCAGCCTCTACTTCCCAGCATAAACTGACAGGCTCCTGCTGCACACTCTTAAGCAACAGCTGCTTTTTCTTCAGCAAGATATATTTTATCTCACAGGGTATCTTACAATTCAAGTGGCGATTCTTTTTAGAGCACTCTGACTATCTGAGGTGAAGGACATCGCAGAGATGTAACCAAATTACTACAGGCATTCCCCTCTTTCTTCCCCCTACAACATTTCATGCCTGCTTGACCCTGATCACGCTCTCTGTCCTGCTTTTTTAACCAGTATTTGCATTATTTAAATACCCAGCTATTTTAATGCCCTTAATACTTTTCTACAAGACAAGGATACATTCACGGCAAATACCCATCAGTGCTGTCTCTGATAAACAAGCTATTGCTGTTCCATATATATGGAACATAACGCATCTTTTCAAAATGCCACTGGGAAGTCGGTGGCAGAACACGTCACAAAGGATTTTCAGAAATGTATTCCTACACACACACACACACACACGTCTACCTTCATTAAAATGCGGAAAGAGGAGATTTCAGATCACTTCCTGAGTGCCATCAAGCTTAAGGCACCCCGACCTTGTCATAAAAATCTATTCTCTACTCAGCCCGATTGCTTCCTTGGCAACTTGAGAGTGAATTTAATCACCAGACAAGCACAGTATTGGAAGGACACATGGCATTTCAGGACACAGAACGAATGCAAAGTGAATAAAGTCAGACTCCATAGGGAACAATGTGCGTGCTGACATCTGAAAAAAAAAAAAAAAACCTGTGGCCTCAATTTGTGGCCTTTATTTATATAACAGCCATCTCCACGTGATGAAAACTGTGATGAAAACATTATCTGGCCTTAGCAGTAAGCCACTGATGTTGAAATACAAGCTCTGGTTCTTCACTCCAACATCAATCCCAGAAGAACTGGAAGACAGAAGAGTTACTGTGCCTGGTGTTAACTCCATTCTTAACAATGGTGTTTTGGGGGCAGTTCATAATCTAGTATCTGATTATAGGACCAAAGTACTTCAAAATCCTATGAATTCTCCGTGTTTTCAAAAGGCCAGGATATTGATTTTATAATAAATGGATTTGTATTTCACTTTTCTACAAACAGCATGGGTCTTTTTAAAAGATATTGCATCACCTATCAACAGATTTATTCATTTTGCTGGATTTTTTCATAACAGCAGTCTATTTGTCTTTAAATGCAACCATTACATTGCAAAAAAACATGAAAAAAACCTCAAACCTGACATTGTCATTTTTCCCTAACAGAACCCTTCCTATCAGTATTACTCACCTAAATAATTTTGTACAAAGGTATGGGCTAAAAATTCATGCTTTTGATTCAGTTTCGTGCTTTCTTCTTTTCCATTTAAATATAAAAATGTATAACCTATACTAAATATTTAAATACACTGTAAACGTACATAATCCGTAAGTTTCTGTAGGGCTGAATCCTGTGTCCTGAAACAGCAAGTGACTCATCCTTTGCCAGCAGAAATCAATCAGAGATCTTCATCAGAAATGAAGCTAAACATACTAATTTCTTTCAGAAAGATATCTAACTTTGTGATCTTTGAGCAGGAAGCATAAAGTATATCTTACTTTATATTTGCCTGTGAGCTGCAGTCAGGAACAGAGAGATAACCAATAACACACTCAAAGACACAAAGACTTTGTGAGACTGGGGACTGAACCCAGATTTGGTGGCAATCCTGTAACCTTAGCGATTAGACCATGCTTCTCCCATCAGCATTGACAAAGAAATTGTTAAAGATTTTTAGAGGATACTTGCTCACTCCAGGTTAAGTTTCATACTCCAAAATTCTATGAGGTCTTTACACAAGTTTTCTACCCTGCCCCTTCCAGATAGCCTACCAGGAAGCCATTGCAAAGATGGTCAGATAAACTGTTACTCACAGCATCCCACGTGCTAAGAAAAAACAAGTCAGGCAAGCAGATATACCCAGTTTTGTTAACCTGTTTCAGGGCAGATTAGATGCAACTTCTGTTTAAATCATGATTCGTTAATGAGGACAGTGGTGAAGAGTTGACTACTTCTGCTGTTTATTGCCTCTGAGCACTTCCCTTCGATCTCCTTTCCTTAACATCTCATTTTGTTATTAGGGTAAATAAGCTTTATAAAGCATCTGGAAGCATTCAAAAAGAACTAGGCGAGCATTACTACATCCCCTCCTTTATAATTCTCCTGCCACTGTAAAGCTTTTTTATACAAGTCCCTAATAGCAAGGCTTCTGAGTTAATTTCCGAGTTCTGACCTTTGAGGTCCAGCCAAATGACTTACCACAGTTTTCTAGAGTCTTTAAAAAGCTGCATGTGATTTCCAGGGAAACTGCTCAGAGACTGTGGAAAGGCACCTGGAGCAGTAATAGGGCCTGGTAGTCGGCAGCTGCCGCACTCTGCTCTGCCACAAACTTCCTGTGCAAGTCTGGACAAATTGCTTAGTACTGGGTATACAAGAAGATACAGACAACCACTTACCTCTCAAGGAGCCTCAATTCGAAGACTTTGGACCTTTAAAACTGTTTCTCTGTTGTTGTTTTTTGTTTGCTTTTAATTCTGAGATTCAGAAGTGTTCCCACCCAGCTGTTTTCTTTGGCTAAATTTTTTTTTTTTTTTTTCAGATTACAGGCTGGAACAGGTTCAGAAAGAAAGAAGAGAACTGCATTGCAGAATCTCCTAAATCTGGCTGCTCAGCTAACCAGTTGCCTAAGATCCTGTCTTTTCAGTCCACTAGCACTACTGGTTTCCATTCACAGGCACCCAGCTTGCCCTGAGCATGCAGATCAATTCAACAAGCTGCCTAAAAGCTAGCCATGGAATTAGTCCTTACCCTTCCTCTAAACCCTTTGTCTGTGTTTCATTTCTAATCCATCAGATGCGGCAAGTGATATCAACACCTCAGCAAAATACGTGGAAGTCTAGATAATGACAGGTGCTATAGAAGAACAAGGTATTACTGCAAATTCAGTCATACCCTGCAAGCAGGTGAGAATCCAGGCCAGCAGACCAATCTATACTAGTGGGAACACCAATATACCTAGAGGTTAGCAGAGATTTAGAACTGTCTCCTTTAATGACTCTTTAGCAGTGCCATCCTTCAACTTCTACCATACTCCGAAGTTAACAGAAAAAAAAAGTGTGCTCAATGACTTCAACCTATTCTGCAATCAGCCATATAACACCCATGCTTATTTGACACTTTTCTTTGCACCCAAGACAAACTTTGTCATTTTGCCAGGATATTTGACATCTGAGGAAGAAAAATAACGTGGGTAGGGTGAAAAACTAAAAATAAACTGAAAAATTTTGTTTTGGTTTGCTATACACACAGAACATATGGGAATAAAGATAAGGGCTTTAGAGATTAGGAAAAACAAGTGCAGGAGGGTTAAACGTCTGCACCAGCAAAACACAAGAACAGAAAGGAAAAAGAGAAGCTAGCAGCTGTTTGTTTAAACTGTTTGACTAGGCTTAACTGGGATGATGTGATTAGCCTGCCTTTCTTTTTTGTAGCTTGGGCTAATGCTCCGGTGGCAGAGCTAAAACAGAGATTCAGGGGATGGGGAACCAACACAACACAGAAAGCGGCGTGAAGTGTGCTTTGACACTCTTCCATAAAATTTAACGTCAAAAGCTACTTTAAACTGTGTTGATCTTGTGCTTCTGAGTCAAAAGAGTTCAGGGAGTTCAGGTTCTGAGAACAGGACAAGGAGCCAGATTGTAAATTACAACTGGTTAATAATAGCTCCTATCATTTATAATATTTCACGGTGAAGCACTCACCCTGCTATTGGAGATCTCCCGAGCAGAGCTTGGCCACTCAGCTCCATTGCTCATACCAGAGCATGCTGCTAGGATATTTAATTTAGCAGTGCTGCAGAAACACTCATCATGGAAGGCTGCATAATTCATGCAGTTTAGGAGGAATAGGTGAGAGCTGGAACTGATTCAGGAACTAAACAGTGATTACAGAAGAATCCTGGACTTACAGCCTAAATGTAGAAACTAAAGTTTCATCAGTTGATTGCATATTGGTTATGCCAGAGCCAAAAGAACACAGAGACGTTATGTTAACTGCAACAGAAAAGAAACAATATGCAGGTAAAGCTAGACAACATTCTAGTGTATTTTTGGGACTGCAGTTGATAGAAAGTCAGTTGGAGAGGTGAAAAGGGAGAGCTGCTAGGTTGTCCTGAGAAGAAGGAACAGAATTCCACCCCTCCCCAAAGAGAGTTTTTCAGACAGTGTTTTCTGTGTGAACAAAAGCCAACTGTGCTCCCACATCTACTAATGAAGCAGAGTTTATACCCCCCCCCACACAAGTACGTACACATGCATATATATTTTACAACCTTAAGTCATCCTCCTACCTTGAAAATGCTGCTAGGTTATCTGCTAATGTTTCTTGGTTATCTGCTCCTGATCGGTAATAATCATACACTGATTTTGGAAGAACTTTTTTAGCATACTCTTCATAATCAGCAACACAAACTGGTTTTCCAGACATGTTTGCAGATCTCACAGGGTAAGTTTATTTCTGCTTCCCTCTCTTTTAAGCTCTGTATTTTCTTTTGTAAATCATTACTTTGGGACTTCATCAGAATCTGACCTACTTATTTACACACACACAAAACTAAACTTCTTGTGTCACTCTGGACTTTGGCACTGTTTCATGGTGTCAGAGCAAACCGAGAGCATAATGGAGTAAGATATGGAGAAAGAAAGAAAATGCATCAGCAAGCAAAGGAATATAATGGTGCAGCGTGAATGGCTTAAGCTTACAGCAAGAGAAATGTCCTGTCTCTTGTGTATGCCTTTATCATTGAGAACATGCAGGATGCTGAAAAAGGGAAGAGAAAGATATTGCTTATGTCTAAAGAACAAAATTCTGATTTAGATGATTTATAAAAGCAGGTCCAAATCTGGACTGGCACTTAAAATTCCAGTTAACACAGGTGAGTTTCCAGTTGTTTCCAGTACTGCTCCAGATTCTGCGTCAAGCTGCCTAGACCCAGCTCCCAACTGGCTAGAGCATCTAATACATCCTCAGGCAAACAAGTCCCTCTTTTCAAGTCAATTCCTCCTCCACAACCCAGAGATCTCGTGTTATGAAGTCATACGCATTCACTAGCTGGAAACAAAATTAGCTTACCAAACAGATGACATTCATCCAGAATGCAAGATTTTTGTAAAGTCAAAATTTGAACAAGAAATCTTAAGAAATTATATATAGAGATATACTTTTTAAATCTCGACAGGGAGAAGTCACAAGTGTATTTTAGCTGTATATATTCAGTTCTCCTGCTGTGCAAGTTTCAACTACTAACAATGCAGATTTTTTTTTTTCAGTAGAGTTTGGGGAGAAGGGAGCAATCAATACTTTAATTAGAATCAAAGGTCCTAAAGCAAAGGTCAAGGTGTGGCAGACCTTTGCCAAGCACATAGAAACAGAGCAGTGCACACTGTGGTCACCACAGCCCAACACAGACCTCAATTTCTGACCATCTTGTACGCACACAGGCAACTACCCTGTTGTTGATTCACTGCTAGTTATTTTGGTGCAATGAGAGATGAAGAAACGCAACGCAATATAAATATAGCCATGCCTCACTTCCTCCAACAATATGGGGCTTTAAATGACTTTTAAATGATTTTTCGTCAACAAGGCTAAGGAATTCACACGTTAAGTTAAACATGCATATATCTCTGTCAAAACCACAGCCATCTTCCTTGCCGCTGGTTTATAAATAACAGCTAGAAACAATATTCTGCAGAGTGAGAAAAATACTCAAGATTCAAAGAAGAGTTTCGAAATATCTTTTGAGGAATATCTTGGGGATTGAAATTGGAAGGATGGTGCTAACTGTGAGGTCAGTATTGGGAATCATTTAAAGAAAAGCCTGGCTCTTTGAGACTAAACATTCTGTGAGTGCTAAGTATTTTAATATGTGCAACTGAATTCAACGCTAATATTTTGTGGTACAGCTTATAGTATTGAGAATCTGCACAAAAATGGCTGAAGGTAACGACAACTTTTGACCATTGATCACCACTTTTACCATGTCTATATTCACCTAAAAAAGAACAAAACAAAAACACACAAAAGATACTTCTTAAGGTCTTTATAACATTCCCCATGTTGATCTCTACTTACATAGATTTGCCATATTTGTACAAAAAAAAAAAAAATCAGATTGCCTTTATATTACTGGTCATTATTTGCCACTCAAGGCCAAAAGTTCTTCTTTCCTCCCCTATGACCCTCACTTACTTGTTCACACACATCAAAACACATACCTTCATGCTACCCTCTTGGGTTCCCCCCAGAAAAATGGGAAACAAGGGCCAAAGGTGAGTTAGGCCAAGGGTGCATTGGCTTACAGCTTCGGCTCAGCCACCAGATCCCAAGAAGCTGCAGCCTCTGGAGGCCACCAGGAGCTGGACATCCCTTCTCACCTCTGGCCAGTTTATGAGCTGGGTGGGGGGGAAAAGAAGCTGCTAACATCCGTATAAAGGAAATTAAACTAAGCAAAACAAGTCATAATGCCTGATGCTAAGATACGCGCAAACCCTAGCACAGCGCACCGGACATCCTCCCTAGCCCTTCTGACAGCAACACACAGAATTGTTCTGATCCAGCTTCCTTCCAGGTAATTAGCTCCTTTATTTTAATAAATCTATCTGGTTGCTACCTCTCTGGGTGAAACACTTCCTCTGCCTGCTTAATGAGGTATCAGCTGTCTTAACTTTAACCTTGAAAGCAAGAGAAGAGCATCCTTTTTTAATAGCAAAGATTTTGCCCAAGTAACCAAGGCAAACCTCACTAATGAACGTCAATGCACAATTCAGTTGAACTGTTTGGATGTGATTAGGGCAAAGAAAAACAAAATCAACCTATCAGTAACATCTTCTCCCACCATCTTCTACCTACTCTCTCTCATTTGTTCCCTGGCAGGTCACTAGACAAGTACAATGGAAAGTAGCAACATGTAACTGAATCTCAGACCCACCAGGCCCTGCAAAGAAATCTCTTCTTTGGTTCAAAAAAGAAAAAAAAGTGTATCACAATTTCAGGGAAGAAAAAAAATCCACCAACTGCTATTAAATACAGAGATATGATTTCTGGCTCAGGAGGCCCTTCAGAGGCCAGAAGAGTGTTCTAGGAAATATTACTACATGCTTGTGCTTATCTGTGCTAATAGACAGTCAGAGATAGGAAAAGAGCTGTATGTACATTTACTCTGAACCACTGTGCTCCTACTACAGAATCAGAGATAACATTGATGGCCTTTTCTGAACAAATAAGAATTCTTAAATAAAGGATACATCAGCTGGGATCTTTCTTCAGTTAACTTTTTCAGTTAACCTCTGAAGTTAGCTGCAGTATATGATTAAAATATATCCGTGTTCCAGTGATTATCTCAGTGTTTGAGTGCTGTGCAAACACTGTGCCGTTTCATCAAGCAACTTTTTAAATGCAAGAAAATTGCTCTGCTGTTTCGACTTCCCAATCCCCCATGAACATTTGTGAACTCAGAAACTACCCCTTTACAGATTATGAATATCCTAAGGTAAAATGTTTTCAGTGAGTATCTGGCATGAGACAGCTGAACCAGTTTATTTTAGCCCCTCCAAGTCACTGCGTCCCAGGGAAAGGAGGTAAGAAGAGGTAGTCTGAGTTCCTCCTCCATGTTTTTCAATCAACCATTCACATAAATTAGACTAGAGAACAAAACCAGCAGCAAGTGCTGTAGAGAGGTTTTTTCCCCCACCCCCCTTCTTTTTCCTTTAACCACACTGAATCCAGTAAGATGCATCTCCTTTTGGTTATGTATCAGTATGGCCCCAGGTCCTCCCTTATATTTTGGTGAAAGGAAATAGGGACAGAAGAGAGACTAGTTCTGATGTTGAAAATTTTTCCCCAATGGCAGCCACTGATAAATATTTTCTGTTGATCCATCACTTCTTTAGTCTTTCCGTCATCTGTGACTTCAGCATGAGACAGTGTTGAAAATGACGGGTTATTGTAGGAACGGGAGCAGTTTCTTCGCCGTTCAGCACAGTAGGTAGGGGGCCCAAATAAGCCCTCAGGAACGTCTCTTTTGAGAAGCTGGTTGGGAAGTCTAGGGACTGCTGGGGTAGAAAGAGACTGGAGCATCAACTGGAAGAACAGTTATCTGAGGAGGCTCCATGCAACTTTGAATACAAGGAAAAATATCAATGAGAGACATATGAGAAATGTTCTCATCATTGGTCTTACACATACACACACAGAGCAATAAACGGTTGCAGCTCTCAGAAGCCCTTACAGGGGCAAGACAAGGGGTGGTCTAAGACAATAGTGTTGCACTGAAAATTGCAAGCCTGACCAAAGATCTAAGCTGTGCACAATGCTTAGACTGGCTGACTGAAAACTTAAATGAATCATTAGATTAAAATAAAGCAGAGGCATTAGCTTCTCTTTCCATACTCACCTTGAATGGATCCACCATAGATCCCGCACAGCGGCACTGTGTGGACTCTAGAGATTAGGAATTCAATTCAGTGCATTCAATACTTGGGAGAAGTAGCACGAACAGTAGATGAGATTTTTTGATTGCTATATCTGTGCCACCATCTGCTTCTTTGCAACACAGCTGACAGTTCTTGTTCATACATTTCAGAGCTCCTTAGTGGATCCATTCTGTGGTCAGTGTGTGAATTTGTCTCAAAAACTGAAAACTCCCAGAGAATCACTTGTTTGCCTAACTTTACAGAATCATAACAATGTAACATTTATTGTAAAGATAACATGTTCAATCAGTTTTATCCTAAAAAATGTCCTTATCAAGCATGATCTTTCCCCGTCCTTCATGTGAGACAGAAGTTCAAATACTGTAAGAGACCAGTCATTTGTGCACCTTCTGCAAGTATATGAGCTACTGGAACAGCATGTACAAAGACAGTTAGCAGCGTCTAGATCTCACACAAAATGAGTTCAGAACAGACGTAAGAGTAAAAAAGTAATAGCAAGCTCGGGGCGTGGGGGGGGGAAGCATTTCCATATAAAATAGAAATTTTAATGAAAATATTCAATTACTATTTATCCACAGAAAGGAAGGTATAAAGAACTTAAGGTGTTCTTCTACTCGGAGAAAACAAATACAGCTTTTTCCCCCTATATGGAAGGGGATGAAAGAGAGGTTATCAGCAGACTTTGTTCACTGACAGGTGAGCTTACAAATAAATCAGTGGTGCATGACTGGTTAGGAATGAAAGGATAAGGAGTAAATTAAGAGAGAAAGGAAGCTAGCTCCTAGAAAGAGCTGCAGAAGCCCCACAAGGGGCACAGACGCTTTTTTCCTGGGCTGCCCTTTCCTGTAATGTATCCTGGGTTTTGTGCACACGCACATGTGTGTTTTAATACTCAGAAAAGGGAAAGGGAATGGGTTCATTTCCTTCCCACTATAGCTGCAGCCAAAAGACTGCTTGCGAAGATGCCAGCAACAGCCATTCAACTTTTCATTTTGAATATATCATTAACCTCCAAGATGAGGCACACACTACTAAGCAGCCCTGTTACTGGAACTACCAAGGATGTTTTTGCCCACTGAACACAAGAGGCAAGTGACTGGCAAATGAAATTAAAGACAGAACAGGGAAAGCAAAGGCAACCCTGACTGATAAAACTTCCAATGAAGCCATTTCCTCTTGCACCTCCCCCCTCCCCTTTTTTTAATTTAGGTTTCACAGTGATTCAAGACAAACGCATTTCAAAGGTATAAATTCCAAGGCAAAAATTCAAACTTCTCTACAGCTCCAGTTGGGCTATCAGCAAGTTATCTTCATACTTCCTCTAAGAATAGAGTCTATGCTTGTTTGACTGCTTGAAGTAATTTTCAGAACCTGGCTGGATTTCATCTGTAGTAAATATTCCATTTGTGAGCTTTCATAGGGAAAATTTCATATTCCCACATCATGAGACAGAACAAGAAGCAGCTGATTAAGTAGTAAAACCATAAAACAAATGCTCACGAGGGTTAAATTTGATACCATCCCCACTGATGCAATAGAAGAGAAAAAATAAGAGGTAACGCAGGCCACCTAATCCCATGCACTAGTTATGTTCCCAGTGCATTGATTAGTGAAAGGTGGTCCAGAAAACTCATGTGACAAGAATGAATCCAACTTCGTACAGCATCCGCTACTGATGGTCACATCATCCAAATACGTTGTGATAATGGCTCCTAGTAGTCACAAGGCCCCACCTCTTCCTCCACACCCAGCACACCCGGCCTTAAGGCCAGTTTCTTTAGCAAAGACTGCTTGCTATGAGCTACTATCAGATATTGTACCATTTAGGTCTGTACACTTCTTGGTGACCACGTCAGCAGGGAGAAATGTACTGCTGTTCTCAGAGTCCCAGACAGAGTTAGCACATTCCTGATGAAACATCCAGCTAGGAAAGAGAGTGAGTCAAGGTATCCCATTAGCAACTAAACTGGCTAAGGCAGCCTTCTACCTAACAGCTACCTACCTAGTCCATCTGACAATTCAAACAGCAAGACGAAGTCCTCAATCACTGGAAACGCCCGTAAGGAGAAGAGCAGTAGCGCTGCACTTCCATGCCTATTCAAATAGAAAAACAAAACAAGATCTTGTGGCCTGATGATTTTAGGCACCAGACTAAGGTGCAAGGTCACAGATCCACCTAGAAATCACGTCACTTTTCTTTTTAACAAACGCTAATCAAAATGAATAACTATATCTGCATGTAAATTAAAGGCTTGATATCTTTAGTTTCATGTTAAAAGCCTCTCTCAAACACAGACACAAAATTTGACGATTTGCCAAGACAGTGGATTACTTCAGGGGGGTGGGAGGGGCACAAAAACACCCCTCGACACAAACACACAAAACAGAAGTGACAGCTCTCAAGGATTCGAAGTTGTACTATTTTGGCAATAGCCCAGTCCCAGCTGCATCTTATACTTTCAAAACCATATTGCTCAACCCTGCGTTACTACAATGAAAGCCTCAGTCTAGGTGTGCTTCCAAATACTTTTTCATTAATGTGAAAGGAGGCAATTCATTAATATAAAGGTTTGTTTTAAAGCATTTAAGGAATCTTTGCAAGCAAGCTACCACTTCTAGTAATCTGTTGGAAGACAATATTAAAAATATTTTGTTAATTACACAGATGAGCCAACTACACACTTCGAAATGAAGACTAACTACAAGTTCATCGATACAAAGTTTATATGGAATTTCAGTACAAATACTCATAGTATCAATTTGCAACATTTTGATATAAAAAGACAATCCTGAATAACATTTCAGTGAAGACGGCCAATATAACAAGTGTTGCCCAGCATGTGTCTAGCCTATAAAGAGTATTCCAAGACTTACACCTTCAGAACAGGAGATTTGAAGGCTGTATTCCTGCCCTCTTTAAAAAGCAACACATTGGATTTTTTGAATGACTTCAGCATTCACTCTCAGATCTATCAGAGGCTGATTTTCAAAGTGGTATGCATCCCCTTTTAAGTTTAAGTCAGTCCTCAAAAACCTTTAGTCATTTGTGACACATAGCCCTAGTTTACAAGCATTACAGTTAACAGCCCTGTACTTAATCAAAACATTCTGAAGAGTGTCAGCCGCAGCTTCTCCAAGGACATTTTGTCAAAACTGAGACTGCAAGAGCAAGTTCCACTTTTGAAAATGAAAAGTAACAGAAGACAGGGACAGACAGATCACTCAGACTGCACAAAAGGTAGATACTGACATTTCTGGAAACACATCAAGTTTAACATTGCTGTGTTCACCTAATTAATCACCTATACTCACATAATTCATTTAAGATGTGTTCTAGTGAGGGGGAAAAAAAACTGATTCTGGAGGACTCATTGACTCTCACTCTTACGGCATAGGCAGTGGTCTTTCTGTTAAAGAGAAATTTAGCCTTTAGAATATTTAACTACTATTTACGCCAGACAAAATATTCTTCAAAGTTGAGTATCTCCAGTATTTTCCTACAATATTCTTCCTATCCATAGGAAACTAAAGTTGGAGATATTAATGGTTGCACAGTACTCCCTCTTCTAAAGCCTTAAGCACAGTTTAGTGAATTCTGTAGTCAGATACTCACAATACACGAGATCAGTGAAACCCAAGTTAACATTAATATCCCCTCTGTCATTCACGAAAATACAGGAGCGATGACATACATATTACATTGAGAAACCTTAAAAGCCTAGTATTGCTCACTGTCAGATTCGCAAGAAAGATCTAAGAGGTGAACTGCTGCCATTTACTACATGCTTCTGTAATCTGTACATCAGAGAAAAAGTTAGCTTTACCACAATGGAAAATGCTTAATATTTTCATTTTAAATAATGCAAACTTAAGTGACATTCAAGAAAATTACACGGAGCTGTGAGCAGAGACTCCAGAGAGTCATCACACATAGCAGTTTCTGATCTTTCCTGAATTTTCCATGACAAGACATGCCTTTTGCATGCCATTTGCATGTCTTGTCTTAATTGTCTTTAATTATTCTTTGAATTAAAGATAACTAAGACAAAAGACTTCACTGTGAAATATGACTTTTGCAAGACCACCTTCTTTGTCTAAGCATTCAAAAAGCCCAAATGCCTGATCTTGGGCTCCAAAACCAGGGAACTTGACTAAGTGTTTCATATTCCCAACAGCATATAACGCTAATGTATAACATAATGTGAGTGTATAAAGCACTGTGAGGTATAAGGATGATCTTTACCTTTTAAAAACCTCTTTAAACAGCTAGAGAGGTTTTAGAGGACTGCCTTAATTCTATTACAAAAGCGGAAATAAATCGAATCAAAACTGAATACTGACACATTCCATCTTACGCGCTTTTCTGGAGTATCACAGACCCACGCAGTATAAGATATCCTCTTTGGTATACAACCATAGTCATCACTGCTCTCAATCTGTGCTGGATACAGTCCTCCATATTTTTCAGAACCTGGTGATTTTAGAACCATGACTGCGGGGATATGTCAATTTTTATCCTACATGAGTGCAAGTAACTGAATATGCATGTCTGGCTCCTGGATGTCACATGCAGCTTGGTTAAAGTCTTGCTTCCCTCTTGGAATTTTATGAAACAATTTTAAAAGCAAATACGTCACTGAAACAACAAAACTATACTCCAAGCTCTGCACAGTGTTTCCCTCCAGTGTATAGTAGCCAGGTTTTCTTTAATTTTTGCAAATACATGCTTAGTTTTTTTGGGGGAATTAAAAAAAAAAAAAAAGAGCTGCTGCACACCTCAACTGCTACCAAGTCCCACTATTCATAAGCTTCTATAAGCTTCTAGCATTGCTCACTCAGAGGACTACATCCAGATAACACAAGACAAGTTATCTGTTCTCATTATAGTGTAATGTGCATATATTATCGACCGCATCCTTTCACAGTTGTGAAAGCAAGGTTACAAATCTCCATTACTATAGAACAAAATTAAACTGCAGGATTGAGAACACTCCTTTAAGAATATTCATATTCAACATACACAGTGTTATTTTTTTTCTTTACACAGCTGTAACAGACAAATGCAAAGTTTGTACCATATAGTTCCAAAACACAATATGTAACAGGATACAGACAGGAAAATATAAGTTCTCCCAGTAAATAAGCTCTTTATGAACATTAAAACAATTTCCAAGGCCCTATTAGTCAGGAAGGAAACTTTTTGCACTTGTAACTTGTCTCTTCTAATAAAAAATATGATTTCATCTCCAATTACTCTTTATTCTTGGAGAGCAAGATGAAGTTCATGCTTATCGCAAAGTTAAGCGATATAAAAATCAACATTAAGACCATCTTACTCATATGGTCACACATTGGCAAAGTGGGAACATACAGCATTTCACTGTAGGTATTCTTTAACTTAAAGAGATGGGGTTATAAACAACAAGTAGCCTTTAATATTAACCAGTTCAACCAAAGGAGGGAAATACTGGTATCCTTAAATGACATCGCCATCTAACCATACCTACTGCTGTCTACCTGGCCAGCTACTTTCACTTTCTGCAGTTCAACAGATACATGTTTAAATAGATAAGAGTAGCATAGTCAAAAGCTTCTCCCCTCTTATTATCCCTATCTTTTCCATTTCCTAATGGGCTGATTCTAATGGCAGAAAGCAGAAAAACCACAAAGGTGAAACCTTAAGTGTCTTTTCAATTAATATTATTAAAGTAGTTCAAGTTCTGCCAAAACTATTATGAGCTGGAAATAACAGAACTGCACTACATATAACTAGCTTGTACTGGCAAGAAATACACAATTTACTGGCTGCAGAATGAATACTTCTTGCTACGATCTCTTGAAAAAGAGAGTCATGCTTTGGCAAAGGTCCCTCCACCCCCACTAAAATTATTTCCTTTAA